TTGGAATAAAGAAGAAATATATTTTTAACATTACAGACCGTGAGTGCAAGCCTTATTTTTGGTATATTCTATATATATATATATATATATATATATATATATACAAACACACATATTTAAATTTAACATATAATAGGTAATACATATATTAAACCATGACAGGTGCATTCTGTGCTGAGGTATATTGCCATAGATCCCTTAAAAGATTTTAGATTGAATGAATATTTAACTGTGCCCCTGAGGTTATTCCATAATTGCGGTGCTCTGCAGGAAAATGAGTATCGAGACGCTTTATTTTTGTATTGCAGTATGCTAAATATTGCAGGCTATAGGAGGTGATAATTTTTATATATTTTTATATATCTGCAGCCATCCTCCTGGGCAGGGTTTGTATGTGTCAGGATGCCTCTGTGCCTGCCTCCTCCGCCTCCTAGCAGCACAATGTTCCTTACACAAGCTGGCTCTCACTTCCTCACAGCATCTGATATTACAAGGCACCTGTTCAGCAATACTCATCAGGAGGCCTACGTGCATGGGCCACCAAATGGGCCCCCCAGCATACCACACCAGCTGCACCAGGGGTTGTTCTGCCACTGCATCAATTGTCAATCCAGAGTCAACAGATATATGCATAATCTCCTTCCATTCTGATACTACATTACTGAGGTTGAAAATCTCAGTGCAGGCCTAGTTTCTCCAGAATGGTCATAGGATATAATAGATTGGGACCAACAAAGCCATTTTTAAAGGAAGGTATATTATGTTAAGGCCATAGTGGCATAAGAGGCAGTAGATTTCTATTTTAGTTTAAACTGCTCTAAATGACCTATCTCGAAGTATAAGAAAATGCTGTCCAAGCACTTGCTAATGGCTTCTAGAACCCAGATCCCTGCCCTTTGGTTGCAGTGGGGCACACCTTCACACCAAAGTTGACTAGACCATGTGGAAGAGATCCACAAGGTGGAGGAATGTAAAACTGTACTGAAATGCCGCTCTGACACGTATGAGGATGTTTTGAGAACCTGGCAGTTTTATTTGAGTACTAATGATTAAACAGGTAGACTTGGTTCTCAGGTGAGAATGGAAAGTCTGGCACCAACCCTCCACTTTCCCATTCACTACACCCCCCATTTCGTTTTTTTTTCTCTCTCCCCTTCACTTCTTTTTATTTACTTCTTACAACCTGTCTTCCTCTTTCTTTAACTGATGGAACATCCCCCTAAATCGGTGAGTAGAGGCCTCCTTAACTGACTTGAGGTAAACTCGTTTTTGGGGAACCTCCTGCCCAAAAAAAAATTAATTGACATAGAGAAAGGATAGAATAGTCTACACTTTTATATCTTTTAATTGTGTTAAGATTAAAAAGAAATTCTAATGCTATATATATATGACTGTTTACTTAGTGTGATTTTTAATGGAAAAGCCATAATTGGCAGAACACGTGCACTTGTTAAAATCTAAATCTAAAGCTGACGTAAACCATTATTCTTTTTGTAGCATTATTATCGTAGTTTTGTCTGTTCATAAACATCATACAAATTAATAGTGAGGACATGTCTCCAAGTCAAGATTATTTAAAAATAAAAACAAGACAAGTAGTTATGAGTAAACCACTCCACAGCAGATTACAGCTCATAAATCCCACAAGCCATGCATTTGCTATCAAACAAATCCATTCCTATTTTTACACTCCATGAGACATAATGTCTTCTTTCCTTTATTTTACGTATCTCCTTTTCATTTATAGTTCACTTCTCAACCTTGTGGTCTAAAGTGTATGTAGTAGCTGTCTTCTCAATGCTTCTCTTGGCACAGAGTTACTGTCACTCATTTTATGTTGGTAGAGGCATGCCTTCCCCTAATGGAGCAGCAATATTAAACACCAAGTTGCTGTGTACCCAGTCCACTCGAAGCAGTTTGCCTCTGTCTGCATACCATAAAACAATTGCACTACAATGATTAGACTAAAAGACAATATTCTATTACTTTGAGTTTAGATAACTATAAAGGCATAAATTAGTATTAAATTGATGCAAAAAGAGAAAAATGTAAATACTAATATTAGTGAATATGATTTCTTAAATAAGTAATAATAATGAAATTTGAATGATGAAACAAGCTTACAGTCTATAGGATTATAGTACAATATTGCTTGCACACATTCAGTAGAATAACTTTCTGTTTTATATCTGCACAGTTAATATACTTTGTAAAGTAATAAGGTCAGGTAGTACGCCTACTGGATAAATGATAATAAATACAGTATGTCCATAAGATAACCAATAGCACTCATTACAATTACCTTCCAACTCTTGCATTTTTAATGTGATTTATATACTGATGTTGACAATAAACTTTTAGCCAGTAATGAAGGTATCTTCAACATGAGAATAATTACTGCATACAAATGAATACCATTTATCAGAGTTTCAGATGATGCTTTCATTGAAGAAGCATGTCAAATGTGCATATCTTGTTTTGTACTTTGTTTATGCCTTACTTATAAATGTATAGTTTTTTTTTAAAGCAAAAACCAACTGACTGTATTTTTTGAAAGATAGGTTAATTATATAGTGTAATTTTAAATTTAAATAACATCTATTTCACACAAACCAAAATAACTGAATTTATATAACAAAGATACTAATTCTGTTATGTCACTGTGTTCAAAAAAATATATTAGTATGAAAATGGCATGTTGAGAAATGTAGTAACACTGTGATAATAGTACAGTAAAAAGTGAAAAATAAATAAATAAAGCATATAGGGATCATATGTTCCTCATACACATAAAAATATCTCCTTTAACTATCCCCCTGCATGCTGTGTATGGAGGCATGTCCCCTAAATGGTAAGCATTTAATGACTAATCTATCATTAACACTAGAGTTGAGCGGACACCTGGATGTTCGGGTCCGGCGGGTTCGGCCGAACTTTGAAAAAAAGTCTGGGTTCCTGATCGAACTTGACCCCGAACTTGACCCTGAAGTCAATGGGGACCCGAACTTTTGGCCACAAAAATGCCTGTAAAAAAGTCCTGCAAAGGGCTTGAAGGCTGCAAAAGGAAGTTAAATGGGGGTAAGAGTAGGACAAGTGCCCTGCAAACAAATGTGGATAGGTAAATCACTTAAAATAACATAAAAAATAAAAATACAGCTGAGCTATAAAATAGCACTAGATGGAATCTTTGATTTTAGCTTTGGAAGAACATAAATCAAAATCTAAAGCATGGCTGTCAGGAGGATCAACAGAATTATCCATTTGAGAGAGGATTGGAGTGCAGGGTATTCTCTTTCATTGTTCAAACTGAGCTCAACTCCTGATGCATGAAGAAAAGGCCTTCACAAGCCTCTGCTATTATGTACATAGTTTATACTAAGTGACCCATAGGTTGAGGAGGCGGTGACCGTGGCGGTGCAGGTGGAAGCGGCGGTGGAGGAGGAGGAGGTAGCCAACACTTTTTATATATATATATTTTTTTTTATTTAATTGGGGTAGCCCCCAAAATATTGGGACATTAAAAAAAAGAAACATTTGCAGCCTGCGGTGCTTTTCTTGCAGTCCTGATGCATGGAGAAATGTTCAACTCCTGATGCATGGATAAAAGGCCTTCACAAGCCTCTGCTATTGTGTACATAGTTTATACTAAGGGACCCATAGGTTGAGGAGGCGGTGACCGTGGCGGTGTAGGTGGAAGTGGCAGTGGAGGAGGAGGTAGCCAACACTGTTTACATATAAATCAAGTTTTTATTGTGTGCTGCATCTGAAACTCCACTATCGCCTGCTGCTGCTCGCACAGTCTCATGAGGCGGTGAGTGGGAAGGTTGAAGTTACACTGCAGCGCAGACAGAGGAGCAGCAGCAGGATGAGAATGCCAAAAGCGCACACAGACGGCCCACACTATCTGCAGCAGCTCTGATATATCTGAGTATAAAAAGTGGCATCACAAGGGCCACCCAGAACTGGCTCAACTCCCATCAAGCCAAGTTCCCAGATGAGATCACCCAGCTCGTCATGCTAGAGCACTTTTTCAATGTGCTCCCCAACGAGAAGGCGACAACGCATTTGTATGTCAATCCATATCAACTTTCGATGCCATTGACTGTGCCTACCATGGTGACCACGGGTAACAGGGAATCAGGGTTCCATTCCGTACAGAGACCCTGACAAATGGCTACAACATGCAAGGAAGGCAGCAGGCGCGCAAATGACCCACTCCCGACGCGGGAAGGTAGTGACGACAAATAACAATACAGGACTCTTTAGAAGCCCTGTAATTGTAATAAGTCCACTTGAAATCCTTTAACTCTGATCAGTTGGAGGGCAAGTCTGGTGCAGAGCCACTGACCGGTGCGTGCTGCAGCTGAAACTCCACTATCGCCTGCTGCTGCTCAAACAGTCTCTCCAGCATGTGTAAGGTGGAGTTCCACATTGTGGGCACGTCGCATATGGGGCAGTGAGCGGGAAGGCCAAAGTTACGCTGCAGCACAGACAGGCGAGCAGCAGCAGGGTGAGAATGCCGAAAGCGCGCACAGCCAGGTGGATCAGTCAGGTGATGGCTACTGGTATCCAGTACTCTTTTTACTGAAGCTGCATCAGGGTCCTGGTATGTGGCCACACAAATGCTGGTGCTCAACACCAGGGGGCGTGCGGTTACCCTGCACCAGACCCTGCTAATCCATTCCACACTGTGACTCCTAACTTCTACATCAGGCATACTGGGTCCCTGTCATCCGACCGCCGCCCAGACAGTGTCCTGGTCCCGGTCACTGGACTGCGAAAACTGCGAATGGCTTGTTAAATCTGTTATGGTTCTTTTTATCGCTTCAACTGTCACTTGGATAACTGTGGGAATTCTAAAGATAATACATGCCGGCGAGCGCTAGGGGACGGCCACTCCGCTTTGGCACCCTGCTCCCTCTTATGCTGTGCTGGTGCCTCTGTGCAACCAGCACCTCTTCCTCCAAACTGCACATGTCACTCGCATGACCTTGATTCCATGTGGGGTCTAGGACCTCATTATCCTCCACGTCATCTTCCACCCACTCCTCAACCCTGCCCTCCTTGCCGTTATGCACACTGCAGAAAGCCACAGCAATTGGCACCTGTGTTTTTCCAGCATGTAAAGTCTGCAACGGACATATGGAAATTGTTTTAGAATTGTATCCAGGCAACAGTTTTCCCTATAAACTGACCTCTCAGTTTGACTTGTGAGGGTATTGCCCCAGAATTTCAATATTGTTTAAGTACCTCTTAGCTATTGATAACTGGTTTAAATATAGCAGCTTGTTATCTGGTAGTTTCTAGTGTAGAAAATATCAATCTGTTTTCTATCACTTAACATGTGTTGTAGGTGTGAAACAATATTACAAGTGACCAATGTAGTAAATTCGAATCAAAGTTCCATTTGCAAAAAAAATTCTCGCCCATCTTCTGTGGGTTATTGCATTTTTAAGACTTATTGTATCACACTAGCATGCACAGGTAGATTGTCTGGCACGTTGTTTTAGTGTTTTAGTGTTTGGTTTTTAACTTTGTAGTTGTGTCTTTACACAATATAGAAATGTATATTAATGCTTCTGTATATGAAGCGATCACAATAACACTTATTTTTCACTTAAAAAAAAAAAACAGGCTAAACAAAAATTGGTAATTAACAATATGACATCTGAAAAGCACATTAAAGGATGCTGTATGATTTACAGAAAAAGAACACACTACATGAAGGTCCTGTTCACTAGAGTGCGTAGTTATGAATGTAACCAGTAAAACTTTGTTTTTACAGCCACTCTTTGGCCCATACATACTTTAAAACTTGTTTAATTTTGTTATAGCATGACTTGTAGTTTTGGTTTTAACTTGTCTATAATACATATTTTTGTATGACAGTGTGTTTTTTCATTGATTATTGAATTTTAATGGTCTAAGATAATTAACATATCAACAGGCAAACATAACCCGAATGATTTGTCTCAGTCTTGCCTTCTATACTACCTGCACCATAGGCAACATTTATTTATCTTTAGACTTTCTTGAGAAGCGGTAACTAGCTAGTGTTGCGCACATACACCAGATATGAAGTGCACACCCCATATGTACTATTTAGCACCCAGAAAATTAGAATGTTTACAACTGTGCTGTAAACGCACTATTAGACGCTTCTATTTGACTCTCAGATATGAAATACACGTCCCAAAACATACTATTTAGCAGATTAGCAGCAAAACAATTAGAATGTTTACAAGTGCGCTGTAAGCGCGCTATTAGACACTTTGATTTAACTCTCAGATATGAAGTGCATGCCCCAAAATGTACTATTTAGCAGATTAGCACCCAGAAAATTAGAATGTTTACTACAGCGCTGTAAGCGCACTATTAGACGCTTCGATGTGACTCTCAGATATGAAGAGCAGGCCCCAAAATTTACTATTTAGCAGTTTATATGAATACAGAAAAGAAAAGAAAAAAAACTACCATAAAGTGTCTCAACATTTTGGTAAATATTGTCACAATGAAATGAGCATAAAAATTTACTTTTAATGGATATATTAAAATGTAAAATAGAAAAGATAAAAGCAAAACAAAAAAGCACAAGGCTACAAAATAATATGTCCTATAAACTAGTTGGGGTATTAAACCTCCAATAGAACCAATAGGAAGAGAAGTGTTGCTTCAAAGAAATACTTATTGGTGTAAAGTAAAACTACTTGCTATGAACAATGTAACTGAATTCTAAATAGGAAAGTGGGATACATGACCGGTGTATAGTCGCCATATGGGCAGTCGGACTCCAGGACAACCCTCCCACATACCTAACCCAATAATCACACTGACACTCGGGTATATAGGAAAATTTGTCCACAGCTTTATTAAACAATCTTAAATAATAATAACAATATATTAATTGTAACATAATAATAATAACTTAACAAATAAACATGGGTCATTGCCCCCATACTCCGCCCTCGCATCCGACTCCTTCTGTTATATAAAAGGCAATGACCCCCATATAAATAACACATATATATATAACATATACCGACATTATTCCAACATACCAACTTAAAGTGCCAAACATAAGTTAACCATGGCAGGGGTATACCCGGATACCCCTACCCCACCAGGTTCTGAGCCACTGACAGGACTCGAAACCTACCAACCACCAATGACCACAGTTTCCTTTTCTGCCACGTTCATCCTAGGGAGCCTATTCCTTCTCCTTCAGCTCTCTATCCCGCCGCTGTGAAAAAACAGGATATCCCTTACCATACACAATATATACATATATATAGGGAGGGTCGGTGGGACAAACTCGGTCAGGTAGGAAATTAGAAGTGAGCTCACCTAAAATGGCTGCCTATTTAAATAGCCCAGCCTACTTACCCATAACTCCAAACTTCCTTCCCTCCTCCTAATGCCCGCCTCCTAACCCCTGTCAAGGCCCTTTTTCGCTTAGCTGTGCTTTGGCTACATGGGGCTACAAGTATCTTCTAAACTCCTCCTACAGAACAGGGTCGGTTGAATATAGATGAAATGCCTCTAGTGCACAAGGGGTTAAACAGCACACCAGTTGGTTACAATGGTTAATAGAAAAGAGGCAGTGAATACATGTAAAATAAAGAGGTATAGGAGACAGTTGCAAGATAGGTTAGATATAATGGTCAGTAGAAATATAGAGACTATAGGTAATACTGACGCTTGCTAGCAAGAGAGGTGTAAATACAAAGAGATACTTTAATAGTAAAAAGTTAAGCCACTTGCTATAAACAATGCCACTGAATTCAAGATAGGAGGGTGGAGTATTGGTATCCTCTGAACTCCTCCTGCAAAACAGGGTCTGCTGTATATATATAAAGTACCTCTAATGCACAAGAGGTTAAACAGTACACCAATATGATTGCAATAGTTAATAGAAGAGAGGCAGAGAATACCTGTAAATAGGGAGGTATAGGAGGCAGTAGCAAGCTAGGATTAATAGAGATAGGTAATCCTGACGCTTGTAAGATAGAAAATCTAAGTGCCTTCAAGGGCACCCCTTAATAAATGCTTATACTATATAGCACAACCCCCCAAAAAGGTGTAAATACAGAGAGATACTTAAATAGTAAAAAGTAAAGCCACTTGCTATAAACAATGTTCAAGATAGGAGGGTGGAGTATTAGTATCCTCTGAACTCCTCCTGTTCAGAGGATACTAATACTTCTCGGAACTGGGAATCAAGATGGATGAAAAGATCAATGTTTATGAAAGATTCCACAGAGTTTCAAAGCCAACTACTCTACCCTCAGAAATTCCAAGGATGTAATGATATGCTGCCATTCCTTCTATTTTAAAGAAGAAATAAGAAAAGCGACAAGACAAAACAGTCAGAAAACAGAGTTTAAAGATATTAAAGTCTTCCCAAACTTGTCCTATGAAACCAGAAAAACAGACTCTCTTTTTCCATCAGCAACTATGATATTAAGGAAAAATAATGTAAAATATTATTGGGGTTTTCCTTCAAGACTTATAGTGACACATGACTATAAAAGCATATTTTTTGAAGATATTGTTGCTGCTACTAAGTGGATACAAGATAGGGCTTTGAATTAAGTAAATATTTAGAAGATCTGGGAAGGGGTAGCTTGATTGATTAAGGGACATGGAGGAGGAAGGAGGGGGAGGAACAAAGTAAGAAAGAAGACAGAAATAAGTAATATAATTAGAGCAGATAAATTTGTATACATATATATAGAATTAGGTATATATATATTTATATATTTATTTATTTATTTATTTCCCCTGGCTATTTCACAAATAGATAATTATAAGCACTTTCACTTGACTATAAATTTAAATGGAAAATGCAATTTTAGAAAGCACTAATAAGTAATCTTAAGAAAATGGGAAAGGAAAAGCAACATTAAGGGAAAGGAACCCTAAAAGAAATAGGAAATTATTCATACATTAATTGGTTATATATAACATAAATTAGTAAATTCACAAAAACACAATAGACAAATTACACAAAGAGTAGAGAACTAGATAAGAATTATACATGTGATAAGCCACTAGTTTATGATATAATTATAATATATACAAAATAATAAAGGATTTAAAGGGCACTATCTAAAGCAAACATGGAGTAAAAAGAGGAAATAAGTAACGAGAAAATAAAGGGTGTTGTCTAAGGTATTGGATTAAAGTAAAAAGTAATATAAAACACTAAATAATCACTTAATCTCTTTAATGGAAAAAGGA